GTGTGTGTATTCTCTTTAAATGTCTCTACAGAACTATTTTGCAGCTTCTCACCTGACTAAAGCTGTCAGTGAAGCCTGATAGGTCTAAGTCTACCACAATGGAAAACTGTGGTGTTGCACAGGAAGCCATGAGGTGCACTTGTGTGTAGGAGGTGCTGAGGTAGAAAAAGGGTACAGTAGTTCAGAAGTTAGAGTGCTTACTGCAGCAGTATCTATTTCTATTTTTAACCTGACTGTGGTCTTAACTTTCTAATCTCAATTGCCTACACCAAGCACATTTGGTTTAAAGACAGTTCAGGATCACCGTTTCAAAACAGCTTATTGCTAGTGTATCTGAATTCTAGCTTGCAGATGTAATGGTAGTCAACAATAAATCACCTTCATAGATCATCTTCCTGCTTTAACTTTATCTTTTTTTTAGCTTTAACATCTTGACAGTCTGCCTTTCAGACTTGGTTAATGATTATAACTTGTTTATCATTCTAACCCATTACATTTAATTACATATTTTCCTACCCTGCCATATTGCATTCTGAATATAAATGATATTATAACATTTTCTGCACCTTACGCACCACTAAAAGGGTGTCTTGTCAGGTTTCCCTCAAGCCTAAAGTTAACAACTATGAAACAAATTGCATGCAACAGCAGTGGGTCTTTTGAGGGAATTTGTCAAGCTTCAGTGCCGCCACCTAGTGGACTAATGTAGGATAGCATCAGTTTGTTCAAGCCTCTTACTGTAATAGATATATACTGTATATGTATATATACAGTCTTCCTTGTTTTACCCTTGAAGATACAGATCTGGCCATTTTATCAGCTTTCACATGCCAACACAAATCCTTAAATATCCACTGTTGTTCAAGACAACTGGAAAGATAATGTTAACTTTCTATTTGGGAACATCAAAGTCTACGGGACCTATGCTTCTTGCTTCTTGCATATATTAAAGAAACAGACCACCAGTACTGGAAGAAGTACTCAACTCAACTTGTCGAGGCAGACCGCCACCCACTTACAGCCGGGGTCTGTCCGAGGTTTTTGCCTCCTAAAAGGACGTTTTTCCTTGCCAAGTGCTTGCTCATGGTGGGCACAGTTGGGTCTAGACCTGCTCTACTTCAAAAATGTCCTGAAATAACTTTTTTATGAATTGGCGATTTACAAATAAAATTGAATTGAATTGAATGGAAAAGTATTAAGACCCCTGACTCATTTAAATAATTTTAAGTGAAGCTAATGTTAACAACTTGTGCATTATTATGCATCTATGTATCTTATTTTATGTCAGCTTCAACTGTAATCTGAAAAGTAAAATAAATATATGTGAGTAAAAAGTACAATATTTACCTCTAAAATGTAGTGCAATACAAAGTCAAAATATGAAAATACTATAATAAAGTACTAGTAGGCCAAAATTTGTACAAAGTACAGAACTTGTGAAGATGTTCAAGTTTCATTCTACCACTGGTTACGTCTTCAGGCCTTTTTCCAAACACTTGACACTTCGACATGTCATAGGATGAGCAGAGGTATTATAAATAACAAATAAATGATGGTTGCATTCCATTTAAGTTGCACTGTCTCCAGGGCTCAGATGTTATTTATGCAGCCTCATTGTTGCTAGGACAATGAAAGGGAACAAAGCCCTTGTTAATATTATTAGATACATCTCTCTTTGATGCAAAGACAAAAATACCTGCTGTAAAACAGCCCAACAAGCCAGCTAAATATACCAAAATTAAGGACAGCCTAACCGAGGAAAGAGAAAAGACAAAATGGTACACATGTCGAAAAGTAAACAGTTATATTTTTTATTTAATTCAGTCCCCACATTATAAGATGAACAACAATGGCACCCTTATTTTCTATTCAGATTGGGAAATGTTTGCCATAAACTAGTGCTACTAAATGTAACCCACCTCAAACAGCAATTAGCGTAATAATATAATAATAATAATAATCATAAAAGCAAATAAAAATAAACAATAAATAAACTACATTTATGCAGTAATAATCACCTGATGATAATGTTAGACCCAAGGCCAGTTATGATTCAACTTACAAATCAAATAAACAACAAAAATTTAAAATTAAAGAAGTTTAAAAGAAGTTGCAGAGTTATTTATGTGGGGAGTATTGCAGTGCGGTTAATATTTCTTAAGTGAATATGCGGTATGTAGCAGTTGCTTATACGCAATTCTATAATGTGGGAAATACTAGCAACAGGGTGGTGTTTGGTGCTTTATACTAAGCCAAATGGTTCACCTTTTTGTGCCTCTGTGAAATGACACTTCAAAGGGAAGAGAAAGAAGATATATACTTTATTAATCCCCTTTTTTTAAATACACACACACACAGGCTGAAATACACACTTCATGAACTTGTGGACATGCAAACAGGGAGAGAGCTGGTGGAGTGATGGGGCTGCCACATTAGTAGCACCCCATGAGCAGTTTCTTGGGGTTAGCTCAAGGACACCTCAGCAGTGCACAGGAGGTGAAACTGGCACCTCTCCAGTTACCAGTCCACACTCCGTATTGTGGTCTGTGGGACATGAACCGGTGACCCTCCAGTTCCTAAGCCAAGTCCCTACAGACTGAGCTACTGCCGCCCCAACAACAAACAGGGTATAAACAGTAAAGGCAGTAAATAAAGCAGCTTCAGATGAGGATACAGAAGAATGGAGAATAATATCAAGGAGGTCATCTGGTGATGCATGGTGCTTATGAGGACAGCATAATGTTTTGAAGAAGCTCACAGGATGCAATCAAAGTAAAATTCTAAAAAGATTGTTGTCTGTTTTCACAAGCTGTTGTTCCCTGTCTCTCCTACATTTTAGGAATAGGAGATGATATGGAGATCCACTACAGAGCAAGCTAGCTACTGTATAACAGCTATGGTGAGTATCACAGTGATGTAACTAAAGTAGGTTGTTATGTAGTGTTTCCACTGTTCCACAGTCCTCATCATGCCTCGTTGCGACTGTTTCTGGAAACTCTAAAAGCACTTACCCTCATTTATTAGTATGACAAATGTTCAATGTCCCCTTGAGTACATCCATCCATCCCATTACAAAATAAAGTAGGATTCGAATTTTGCAGTGTTCATTTTAATTTAGTGGTACAAGATCTAAAATTAACCTGAATAAAGACAGAAGCATGCTTGCTTTGTCCTTCAACGTAACGCTCAAATAATTAATTAAATTACTTGATTTAATCAACCTGTGTCATGAAACACAACACGATTATTGCAGCATTTTTTAAAACCAATAAGTTTTTTCATTTCTGTATTCTGGCCTCTGCCCAGCCCTGGGTCTCTGGTTTGCTCAGTGACCATTAGAAGGACTATATCTTATTATGACTGTAAATTAGCTTCAACAAAGAGTCATAGTGGTTGCCTCCTCATATGAATACACAAGTAAATTAGATATTTTTAATTAGCAGACTTTCCAAATGGGTTTTCAGCAAAAGTTATTATTTGTGTAAATATATGTACAGTAAATATAGTGTGCATGTACATGCATACTGCCAGTATATGTGTTTAATAATACAGTCAATAATATGGTCATGTAAAAAATGGAAACCGCCTGATGGTGGTGCTAAAGCCAAGCTGATACAGTCACCAATTTCAAAAGGTTTCTTCTGCTTGTGAGCATTAATATGCCCAAAGCACAATGCTAGGGTAGTAACAAGTTACAAGTAATGAACACGAGTAAGTAACAAGTACTTTTCAGGTTCCTTTTTTTTAAAACTGTATTTCTACTCTTTGCTCAAGTATATTCTTGAGCCAGTTATCTATTTTATACTTTTAAAACTCTGCTTCACATGCAGGGATTGAGTGTCTGGGGAGCTCCTCTATTGCAGATGGCAATTTACCAGCTGTCTGGAAGAAAAATTATGACTGAGCTAACCCAAAACAAGAGGCATCTTTCAGCAACAATCCCTGGCCACATCTGAGAAACAGATACATGATGAAGTGCTTGCTATGCCTGCCGGAAAACACAGAGATCTCTGCTTTTAAAAACTCCTCTTACCTCAGCAAGCACATAAATTGCACATGCACATGTGGACTATAGCTAGCTAATGTTAGCTATGGTCATTTTTTATGTTTAACATAAATCTTTGATATTTGGATGATGACATTTTGTAGTGGTCTACAGTGATCTGTTGTTTTTTTAAATTAATTAAAATTCATTTTACTTAAGTAGGTTTCTCAAGTGTTAATTTTCACTTTTACTTGAGTATACTTTTTCAGTACTCTATCCAGCACTGCAGGGATTTGTTTAGAGTTTATAAATGAGAGGAAAGTTTCAGCTCTGACTTCAAGAAGTGAATAGTGAACCTCTTCTTGCTGCATCAATACATTTTCTTCACAAGGAGGCAGTGTTTGAGGCAGGAATGAACAGAGGTACTGAGAGAAAATGGTGAAAGAGAAACAGTTTATTGTTTACAAATATGTACAAAATAAACCTGGAGTATCTTGTGTTCTCATTTGATCATTGATCTAGGAGATTATGCATAACATTGTATTTAAGAACAGGGTAACATACAGTATCTAATATCACATGAACTTCGTCTATTATATCTACACTTAAAGGGACAGTTCACCCTAAAATAAAAAAGTACATATTTACATTACCTGTGGTGCTATGTATCCAACTAGACTGTATCGCACATAGGGAAGCATGCATTTTTGAGCTTGATAGAGCTCAACCAAGGAGGATGCGATTAATGTTCACTTCCTGCGCTGTCAAGAGCAAGAGCCTCTTGTCCATGAGCAGATGCAGGCTTTCTTCTGTGCAGTGATACGTACACAACAAACTCAGTGGATTATCTTGGGTTACCAAGTCATGATTTCTGGGAAGAGTCACTGAGTTTTTCAAATGTATTTTTTAGCACTACAGTTAATAGGAAAAACACATATTTTTGCTTGTCCTTGGTTTCATTTTTCAGCAGAAAAAAACAGCTGTAATGTTGTTTTTTTTAAATGAACCAATCACATTTGTATATTTTCCATGTTTTGAAACAGATTTATTTGTATCATTTGGTAACATCAAAGTAAAGGATAGGATTACATCTGTGTGAAGCAAACCGTCTCAGTGCAATGGAATCAGTCTTGATATTAGCATCTCAATTAACAGCTCTCTATACAAACTGTGAATCCAACTGTTATGATTTTATCAATCAGTTACATGTCATGATTCTTCATAATTGAATCAATGCAGCGTCTGTAGTCAGGAATCTTGGAATAACAATAGATTTTTGTTGGTTTGAAGCCTGCGACACCACACCATTTGCCATCCCACCCTTGCAGACCAATGGACCTCCAGAGTCCCCCTGGAAATACATACAAAGTATGCAGACATTGCTTCAACATAATTAATTATCATTGTTGACCAACATTTGTTTGTCCTTGTTATGTTACGCAAATGTATGTACATTACCCGGTCCAGTCTCTCCCTCAGCAGTACGAGTTTTCCTTATGACACCACTCATTGTCAATGAATGTTACATTGACTTCCATGAATACAGGAGGCATATGTTTTATTTCCCTGTCTGTACTTCCCCAGCCAGAGATGCTACATGATTTTGGCAGAAATTCACAATTCGCCTTGGAGCTCAACTTGAGGAACAGAGAGAGATATACATATATTTAAAAGATCAAATAAATATCAGTGTTTACAGCATGTTCTTGATTAATGCATTCAATAGAGCATAATGAGAAACAAATGGAAATGACATACATTTCTTTTTTTTCTTTTTTCTTTTATTTTTTTTTACCTTGAGAAGCATCATATAATTTTTAAAGTCAGTTGCATTGTAGTCTTTATGTGGAAATGCTTGTTCCACAGGTCTATGCTGTACTCCATTGTGAACTCCCAGTAAGACTCCATGGACCTGAAATGACTAAATTAAAGGGGACCTATAAAACATGACCAAAGTTTAAAATAAATAACTAGATAAAAATATGTAAAAGTGATCCATGTAAACAAAAATCTCAGATATGAGACTTCTTTGCTAAACTCCAGGCGTCAGTCAGAAATTTCTTAAATAACAGTTAAAGCAGAACAGTCAGAGGTCATCAGAGGGAAAACTAGAAAATATTTTCCTCATAAAGTAGGATCCAGTTTCACCAAAATCACTGTTCATCAGTTATCAAAGTTTGTCCACTAAGGCTGGTGACCTATCCTGTTTTTTCAATCTAATTCTTGTCTCATTTGTGGTCTGACAAAGAATAACTTCATCAAATTCCGTGCCCCTTATTGCTATTGCTCAAGCTCAAGTTGCTCAAGTTATTGAAGCTATTGTGCAGTCGAGCACCACAGCAAGAAGATGAAGCGCTCACTGGGCACTGACTAACAGACTTTGGCAAAGTTGGATGTGGGCTTTCAGGGAGGGACAGCTTATTTCAGACAGTATGAATTGCATAAAGGGACAGAATGAGATAATAAGGATGTTTTTTGAACTATAAATCATGCAAAGCTGATCTAGTGGAGTCCCAGAATAAAAATATAGAGCTGGAAATTAGCATACTAGGTCTCCTTTAAGTGCAAGAAAGTTCTCTGGAAGTAAGTTTTTTGTACATAACATTGAATTCATTGCATTTAAACAAAAATAAATCAAAAACCTGAAATTATTTCACGATTCATGAAGGTGTCATAAAGCATATTTTCCAAATAGATAACAATAACTGTTGCATTTTCAATGGAAGTTGTTGGGCTGTTGTAGGGGTTTGAAATCTTATCAAGGGGCCCAGAATTAAATTCCTCCAAACATTTCCCCTGAATCAATTGAGAAAAAAAGTGCAAACATTATACACATTGTGCACATATAAACTAGAGTGATCAAAGAAACTCACTTAAATGAGTCAGTCTATCCTCTTGCACTGTATGTCTCACAGTACTGAGAGTTGAATTACTTCCTCATGCTCTGAGATCAGGAGTCAGTGCAAGTATCAGTATTACCAGTTTACAGTGGATAAACATGGTGAGATCACAGCACAGCTCAGCTACTGAAGAGCAGTGGCACACATCACTGACAATTCAGTCTTTAAATGCTTCCTTGTATTAGGGAGAGAAGGAAGTTTTCATGCATGCAAACAATGTTGGTTTGAATCCCTTTCACACCTCCAGAGCATGAAAAAAGTTCAAATTAGATAATACATAATACAAGTCTACAGTGTTTAAGCACATACAGTGTGGTGCATGTGTTTTACATGTGACATTATATTGATACTTCTCTAGTAACACACACAGAGTTGATGATCTCTATTAGTATTAGTATTTTGTGCTAAATGCTGTGGCTGTCAGAGGTCACACAGCACCAAAGGAAATTATTCTAATTTTGAAATTCACATATCTGAAAACTTGGAATGGAAAGGTGTCTACGCAATATAGCTGCAGATGGTTCCAGAGCATATGGCTCTTCACCATAGCCAAACTAGGGCAGAAAATGATGAATGAAAACTGCTTGATAGGTCCTATTCGCGGAAAGATAGCTGCACAAAAACCTAAGCGATTTCCAGACAACAACTGAAAAAAAATTGAATAAGATAAGCAGGTATTTTATGTGCTGGGGACCTAAACATATGGCAAAGTTCTGAAAGGCTGTGTCATGTTCAACTGAGGGAGACATCATGTTCCTGGTTGTGAAAGCATCCACATCATTTATTGGATGGTTTGGATGCTTACTATAGAAACAGCAAGTCAGACCATAAACAAAGTGGTTACATTTATGCTTAAATATTTGTATCTCCAAACAGTATTTACTAATGTTATCTGTAGCCCCACATATTAATAGGCATACAATAATATACAGCATTATATAACTAATGACGTGCCCCATGGAAATTATGCTGGTTACTCTTGTAGCTAGTTAGCATGCTAACAATTGCAGCTTGCATCAGAGCAGATAAACCAACTGCTTTTGCTTTTTTACCAAGTAGAGAAATCCAAAGCTTAACAGGGCTGCAGTAATCATGTTTGCCAAGCTATGGTTGGACAATCACTGAGGGATGGAGTGTTGTGAGTGTACTCAGTCATATGCGTACATATTTCGTGACAGATAACCTTTTCGGCATCACTACACTAAGGGTCCAGTCTAGCCATGCATTCTTTGTTTGTTATTAGTTATTCTTCAGTCCCTTCCATTTTAGAATCCGACTACAGCCTTTCAGCCTTTACTAACATTTCAGAAATAAGGGTTCAGTATCTTTCTCTCTTATAGTTCTCATAGTTTATGTTGTTTGGGATCAACAAGACGAATAGATTAACATCATCAACCATTTCCTCTGCCTGGGTTGTGAAACAGCAATGTAGCACCCCTCGCTTCGTTATCTGTAATTTTTTTAGGTTAGGGTGTAAGAACACATTTCTTTCAATGCTGAGAAAGTACCAATTTGTTTATCTCACTGAAAAGTAAAAAAAGTGTGAGTGCCGTCAAAGGACCTGTCTCTTATTATTTGCTATTTATTTTCAATGTATTTAAATTTGTTGAGGAAAACAACAAGTGTGTGACCCCTCCCAACTGTACACTTGGTTACCTCTTCCATTGCCTTCTGTATTGTCAGCTTGATGAATTTTCAGACCCTCTTAGTCACTTTAGCCACTAGCAAAAAAGCCCCTGTGTGAGAAAAGTTAAGAGAAAAGTTATCTTCTTTTGTGGATTGAGGAGAAATATAGAGATGTGCACTCGGACACTTACAGAGGACAAAACTAAGAAGCTACAGATAGATTACAATAGGTAAACAGAATATGATGGCCACAGACTCTCCGTGGGTGCATGAAATGTTGCACAACCAGGGTGCAGAGCTTACACTATAAAAGGATATAGACATAGCATGCTCACCTTAGCTAGTGAAAATGCAGCTGAAGGACATGGTCGGGAGCAGAGACCATAATAACAATGACAATGCGCATGCATTATATCAAAGGCTATGTGTCAAAGCAGCATTAAAAATACAAGACAAAAGGGCTTTTAAGAAAGCAAGCAAAGAATTTGTTTGTGTGGACGCAGGGGGGGAGACAGTACATACAGTGCAAAAAGTTTATTTTGCAAAGACATGCAAAACAAAACTCCTTGCACAAACAAGACCTTACCAGAGAACTGTACACAACAAAGGAGTGAGTAGAGAATGACTGATTGTACATAGCTGTCTGGCTAGGATCAACCTTATTTGATTGTCTAATCAATGGTTTACTATTCCATTTTTCTGGCATTTCTATGGTCCAGTCGCAACTTTGATCTCGTCTACTATCCAACGTCCTTTAAGACACCCTCTACTCTTGACCATGACAAATGTGTCAAAACGCTTTTATTTTCATTGCAAATATTGATGTGCATTGTTACTCTTGTCCTGTTTAGACTCGTCATCTCTGGAGGCTACAGTGCAGCACTTTATTTGCTCAGGCTAAAGGGAATTACGTCCTGTGCAAGAGAGAGGGCAGGAGTGAGTTTAAGTTATAGACCTTATGAAAAGAATCAAAATGCAATAAAACTTCTATATCAAAACAACGACGTTGTATATCTCAAAAAAGCTCCAAAAGGCTTCATTTGCATATTAAAATCACCAACATTTTATTCTTGAGTAGAATTCTACTTTTCTTTTCACCTTCTTGACTACTCTAGATCTATAAAATGATTGGAAGGCTTCAGCTCTTTTTCATGAAGTGAATAGAGAAACTATTCTTGCTGCATCAATACACTTTCCTCACAAGGAGGCAGTGTTGTCTTTTTTGTTGTTTTAATTCTGGCAGGAACAGGAATGAAGGTATGGAGCCCCCAAAGTCCCCAAAAAGAAATATTTCTTTATCTTGTGGGCACAAGTTATTATCTTGTGCGCACAAGTTATTTATCTTATGGCTTTATAGGCATATGTTTGCTGATTCCTCCACTATGTTTGAAACATTACTGTGTTCATTGCTTTATTTAAGCAGTCAGTTTGCTATGTTATTGGTGGGTGAGCTGGTTGATAAGATAGTTGAGAAAGATAGCTTTCTGTTATTCACCCGTTTTACTGAAGTGTCCATGCCCCTCTAAACAGAATGCGATTTCAGCAAGAGCAGCAAGAATTTTATGGTATGACATTCAGAGGTGAAAATAAAACTTGATAAGCTAAGTTCTCTCCATTATATGACAGCTGTGTGCATCTGAAGCCCTTAGAGATGCATGTGAATTTATAGTAAATTAATTTGTGCCCAAAAAATAAATAACTTAAGATAAAAAATATTTCCTTCTGGGGACTTTAGGGGCTTTGTGGGAGGTACTGAGAGAACATGGTGAGAAACAATATATAAGAGGTGCAAAATAATTGAATTTGTTGAATGATGCACAAAGCAGTGATGCATTTAATTAATATAAAGTCATATTTAAGAGCGGGGTGACATACAATCTCTAATATAACATGTATCACATCTTTTAAACAGCATTAAATCATTAAGACTTCATTTTAAGCCATACTTAATTTGCGTACCATGATTGGCTTGTTAGTTGTCAAGTTTTCACTGTAAAATAGCTGTACCATATAAAGTCAAAACTTGCCACTTCAAAAAAAAAAAAAAAAAAACTGAAGCAATTCAATTCAATTCAATTTTTCAATTCAATTTTAT